TTGGGTAATTAGTGGTCTGAGATGGTTTATTGTTGTTGAGCCCCATGCACAAATTCCATAGGTGAGATAGGGGTAAATGAGTGAGTGATATAGGGCCAGGAGGGCTGACTGTGGAACATAGTACTGTATCTTTGATGGTATGCCTACGGTCTTGGAAATTTTCTTGGAAATTTGTTGTACATGTGTTTGAAATTTGAGCCTATTATCAAGGTGGATTCCTAAGAATTTTCCCTCTGTGAACTTTGTGATAGGTGATCCGTTTATCATTATGTTAAGAGGAACATCTGTAGCTCTCTTTCCAAACTGAATGAAGTAGGTTTTGTCAATGTCGAGAGTAAGTTTGTTAGTCATCATCCAGGTAGATATTTTCTATAATTCGGTATTTACAGTATTGGCTAGCATGACTGGGCTTGGGTGAGAGAAGACATTTGTAGTGTCATCTGCAAATAGTGTGGGTTTGAGTAGTTGCGATGCATTTGGTAGGTCGTTTATGTAAATGAGAAAGAGAAGAGGGCCAAGGACACTTCCCTGGTATACTCAGTAAACTTATTCCCCTATAAATTCTACAATCTCTCTTGTCCCCTTTCCCTTTATATAAAGGAACTATACATGCTCTCTGCCAATCCCTAGGTAGCTTCCCCTCTTTCATACATTTATTGAACTAAAGTACCAACCACTCCAACACTATATCCCCCCCTGCTTTTAACATTTCTGTTATGATCCCGTCAGTTCCAGCTGCTTTTCCCCCATTCATTTCTACGTAATGCCTCATGCACCTTCCCCACACTCACATCCTGCTCTTCTTCACTCCTAAAAGATGTTATACCTCCCTGGCCAGTGCAGAAAATTACCACCTCCCTTTCTTCATCGAAATTTAAAAGCTCCTCAAAATATTCCTGCCATCTACCCAATACCTCCAGCTCCCCATCTAGTAACTCCCCTACTCTGTTTTTAACTGACAAATCCATTTGTTCCCTAGGCCTTCTTAACTTGTTTATCTCACTCCAAAATTTTTTCTTATTTTCATCAAAATTTCTTGACAACTGCCACTCCCACTCTATCATCTGCTCTCCTTTTGCACTCTCTCACCACTCTCTTCACATTTCTTTTACTCTCCATATACTCTGCTCTTATAACACTTCTGCTTTGTAAAAGCCCTCTCATAAGCTAGCTTTTTCTCTTTTTATCACACCCTTTACTTCATCATTCCACCAGTCACTCCTCTTTCCTCCTGCACCCACCCTCCTATAGCCACAAACTTCTGCCCCACATTCTAATACTGCATTTTTAAAAATATTCCAACCCTATTCAACCCCCCCTTCACTACTCATACTTGCACTAGCCCACCTTTCTGCCAATAGTTGCTTATATCTCACAATAACTTCCTCCTCCCTTAGTCTATAAGAACATAAGAACATAAGAAAGGAGGAACACTGCAGGAGGCCTGCTGGCCCATACTAGGCAGGTCCTTTACAATTCATCCCACTAACAAAACATTTGCCCAACCCAATTTTCAAAGCCACCCAAGAAATAAGCTCTGATGTGAAAGTCCCACTCAAATCCAACCCCTCCCACTCATGTACTTATCCAACCTAGATTTGAAACTACCCAAATTCCCAGCCTCAATAACCCAACTAGGTAGACTGTTCCACTCATCAACTACCCTATTTCCAAACCAATACTTTCCTATGTCCTTTCTAAATTTAAACTTATCTAATTTAAATCCATTACTGCGGGTTCTCTCTTGGAGAGACATCCTCAAGACCTTATTAATATCCCCTTTATTAATACCTATCTTCCACTTATACACTTCGATCAGGTCTCCCCTCATTCTTCGTCTAACAAGTGAATGTAACTTAAGAGTCTTCAATCTTTCTTCATAAGGAAGATTTCTAATGCTATGTATTAATTTAGTCATCCTACGCTGAATGTTTTCTAACGAATTTATGTCCATTTTGTAATACGGAGACCAGAACTGAGCTGCATAATCTAGGTGAGGCCTTACTAATGATGTATAAAGCTGCAGTATGACCTCTGGACTTCTGTTGCTTACACTTCTTGATATAAATCCCAGTAATCTATTTGCCTTATTACGTACGCTTAGGCATTGCTGTCTTGGTTTAAGGTTGCTGCTCACCATAACCCCCAAGTCCTTTTCGCAATCTGTATGGCTAAGTTCTACATCATTTAACTTATAAGTACTAGGGTTATGGGCACTCCCAAGCTTCAGAACCTTGCATTTATCTACATTGAACTGCATCTGCCACTTTTCTGACCAAGAATAGAGTTTGTTTAAATCCTCCTGAAGTTCCATAACATCTATGTTTGACTCAATTATCCTACCTATTTTTGTGTCATCGGCGAATTTGCTCATATCACTAGTAATTCCCTCATCAAGATCATTGATATATATTATAAACAACAACGGACCCAAGACTGATCCCTGTGGAACGCCACTTGTTACAGATCCCCACTCGGATTTAACCCCATTTATGGACACACTCTGCTTCCTGTCAGTGAGCCATGACTCGATCCACGAGAGCACTTTTCCCCCAATGCCATGAGCTGCCACTTTCTTTAACAGTCTATGGTGCGGAACTCTATCAAAAGCCTTACTAAAATCTAAGTAAATAATATCAAATTCTTTATTGTGGTCAACAGCCTCAAAAGCTTTACTGAAGAAAGTTAATAAATTAGTTAGACAAGACCGGCCTCTTGTGAATCCATGCTGAGTATCATTAATCAAGCTATGCTTATCGAGATGGCTTCTTATAATGTCAGCTATAATTGACTCTAGCAATTTGCCTACAATTGAGGTCAGGCTTATTGGGTGGTAATTTGACGGTAATGACTTGTCCCCTGTTTTAAAAATAGGAATTACATTAGCCATCTTCCACATATCAGACACTACACCTGTTTGAAGAGATAAATTAAAAATATTAGTTAATGGTTCACAGAGTTCCATTTTGCATTCCTTAAGAACCCAAACACTTTCACCTCTCTCTTACTTGCTGTTACCATTTTCCTTTTGTCCCATCTACCTCTTACTCTAACTGTAGCTACGACTAAATAACGATCCAATATGTCAGTTGCCCGTCTATAAACACGTAGTACATCCTGAAGCCTACCCATCAACCTTTTATCCACCAATATATAATCTAACAAGCTACTTTCATTATGTGTTATATCATACCTTGTATACTACTTATTTATCCTTTTTTTCATAGAATGTGTACAGTGGTACCTCAAGTTACTAACGTAATTCATTCCAGAAGGCTGTTCAAGTGCTGTTACCGAATGAATTTGTTCCCATAAGGAATAACGTAAATTAGATTAGTCCATTTCAGACCCCCCAAAATACACTTAAAAAAGCACTAGCAAAAATACACTTACATAATTGTTCAAGTTGGGAGCTGTTCGAAACTCGAGGTACCACTGTATTACTTATTACCAAACCTCTTTCTACACATAGATCACTTAAAGGCTCCCCATTTTCATTTACCCTTAGCACCCCAAATTTACCTACTACTCCCTCCACAACATTTTTACCCACTTTAGCATTGAGATCCCCAACCACAAGTACTCTCTTACTTGGTTCAAAACTCCCCATGCACTCACTCAACATTTCCCAAAATCTCTCTCTCTCTCTCCTCTACACTTCTCTCTTCTCCAGGTGCATAAACACTTACTATAACCCACTTTTTACATCAAACCCTTATTTTACTCCACATAATCCTTGAATTTATACATTTATACTCCCTCTTGACCTGCCATAACTTATTCTTCAAAATTATTGCTACTCCTTCTTTAGCTCTAATGCTATTAGCAACCCCTGACCTAATCCCATTTATTTCTTCCCACTGAAACTCTCCCACCCCCCTTCAGCTTTGTTTCACTTAAAGCCAGGATATCCAACTTCTTCTCATTCATAACGTCCACAATCATCTCTTTCTTATCATTCGCACAACATCCATGCACATGCAAACATCCCACTTTGACGGTTTTCTTTTTTTTCTTTTTAGTAGGCTATACGGGAAAAGGGGTTACTAGCCCATTGTTTCCAGCATTTTAGTTGACTTTTACAACAGGCATGGCTTATGGAGGAAAGATTCTTATTCCACTTCCCCATGGATATGAATGGAAAAACAGTGAGAAAAAGAACTATTAAGATAAAATTAAAGAAAACTCAGATGAGTGTGAATACATAAAAGTGTATATGTATGTGTAGTGTGACTTAAGTGTAAGTAGAAGTAGCAAGATGTACTTGAAATCTTGCATGTGTATAAGACAGAAAAAAGACACCAGCAATCCTACCTTTATGTAAAACAAATACAAACTTCCTTTTTACACTCACTTGATAGGACGGTAGTACCTCCCTGAATGGTTGATGTCTACCAACCTACTACCTCTTAAGTAAAGTATATACATGTATAGTCATGTATATACATGAATTTTAGGGGCCTGAACATCCAGAAAGCTTGTTTGAGCATGTTAGATGGGAATGGATAGAAATAAGTGGTCTCTAATGGACATTCTCTGGAATGTGATCAGGGTAACATTTATGAAAGGATTTAGGAAAACCAGTTAGTATCCTATGAATCCTGAAGGTGAGAAGGGCAGTACCTGCAATCTGAATGAGGGGGTGAGGATTTTGCAGTCACTCAGTCATCTGAATTGCAATGTCAGCACATTTGTAGCTGTACAGTAAATGAGTGAATGGTGGTAAATGTTTTTCCTCCTTCCTTTTTGGTCGCCCAGCATTGGTGGGAGACTGCTGGTCTAGTAATAGTAAATACATATAACTTAAGCTAACCTAAGTTTCTCTTGAGGCAATGCCTTGGCTTGCAGCCATATAGACCAAGATTTGACTCTTGAAGAAATGTAATGTGGACTGGACTGTAGTAGAATGATTGAGTTCTTTAAAATTCATGAGGTTAATTTCAGCATCTTTATACTTTATTTAGAGTATTTCTAAAAATAGCCACTAAATTATTTTTCAGCTGCAGGCTCTGATCACTCATATAAAACTCCTGTGGGCCACTACCTTCAGTTAACCACAATTGAGCAGGAAGCAGGTACACAAAAAAAGGCCTTTTTACAGTTACCCCCATTCATGGATATGGCAGTAGGTGATTATTGCTTTCAACTCTATTACCTTCGCTTCGGTGGGATTCGACCTGGCAACATCAGCATCTTGGTAAGCTGTTTATGCATTTTGATGTATTTTCATTCTTTCAGTAATTAAGTTATGAAGCAGATTTGTATTTCTTTATACTTAATCTGTAAAGACTGTTTTATGTTAAGTCACTTATTATTATTATTATTATTATTATTGGTACCCCATTTCAAAACTTGGAGGATAGAAAATTAATTCAGGAAAAAATGTTAATGACTTTACAGCCAATACTGTCATGCCTGGCAAAACTCCCACACCAATATTATAACTGTTTCACAGACAAGATATAAATAAATTGCTTCCAATCATTCTTGTGCACTGCTACTTTTCCTTTTATGTTGTTCATATATGTACAACATTTTCTTATTCATTAACTCATGTACAGTTGGTGCTATATACCAGATTCCTCATACTAATATCCCAACATTTAGTGATAACTAAAAACACTAATAACAGACAAGCAAATGAACAAGCACCACCTTCTACTAGCTGGAGACTTCATCATTAACCCTTTGACTGTTTTGGCCGTATATATACGTCTTACAAGCCAGTGTTTCGGACGTATATATACTCAATAATTCTAGCGGCTTCAAGTCAAGCAGGAGAAAACAGGTAGGCCCACATGTGAGAGAATGGGTCTGTGTGGTCAGTTATGCACGCAGTGCATAACGAGGAAAAAAAAAACTCTGTGTTATTGGATTAAAATGCTGACTTTGAGGTGTATTTTCGTATAGTATTTATAGTTATATTCTAGTTTTCTTGGTCTCATTTGATAGAATGGAAAATATATTACAGAAATAGAGATGAGTTTGATTAGTTTCACAATGAAAACGACCTGGAAATTGAGCTCAGAGTAGTGGAAATGTTCGATTTTTACCAATGTTCAAGAGTAAGCAAATCACACCACACGTCCAGTACATGTCAAATGGGGAGTCTGATATTCTTTCACTAGTGCACTGATATTATTTATACCATTTGTACAATAATGCAGTAGTTTGCATAACAGTAAATCTTCTATTTTTTGTGAGAATAAAAAAATCAAAATAGAAAGCAAGAGTAATATAAGAGGGGCCTGGAGACATGACTAATGAACAGAGGATATGCTATTTTAGTGCCAAGAATGTCTGCATTGTTTATTCTGGACCCTATTTTGAAATTGGTATCTTTTTTAATTTGTGTGAAATTGGCCATATTGCTAATTTCTGATCACTTTATTAGGTAGTTGAAATCAGTAAATGGGCAGTTTCTTGTACTCAATTGATAGAAAAAATAGAGTTCTAAAAATATAGCTATGAGTTTGGTCGACTGGAACAATGGAATTGGCCGAAAATAGGGCTCAAAATCAGCAAAATTGCCGTTGCGTATATATCGCCAAGATTGCTAACTTCGTGGGAGCGTAATTCTGTAAGTTTTCGATAAAATTTTGTACTTTTGGTGGCATTAGCATCAGGAAAAGATTCTCTATCATTTCTTGAGAATTTCTTTTTTTTTTTTTTTTTTTTTCCAAAAATTTTGTGACATAGAATGACAGTTTCAGAATTGGAATTGTGACAGTCAGAGGGTTAACCTTGGCCTAACAGATGACCGACCAGTAATTGATTTCATTAACAGTATGAACGATACACTCTTCATACCAGCTATAGCAAAACTAACAGGCTAACTGAGACGAGTGCAACCGTAATTGACTATACTGTATATAGATAAATATACTAGCTCCACTTAAGTCAGGGATAATCACAAAAACACTACTGACCACTATCCAGCCTTCCTCTTAACAAACATTTGTAAGCAACCAATGGAATATAGTAAGATATCTGTTTGACTCCATGATGAGGCATCAATAAGTAACATTACCACAGAACTAAGCTCAGTTGACTGGCCTAATGAATTTTCCAATGTCTGTGGTATCAGTGAATAGATAAGCACATTTCTGAATAAAATACATAGACTCTATATTATTGTCCCATAAAAACTAAACAGATCATTAACCCCTTGACTGCCGCAACCCCAAATCCTGAGGTGTCTCCTGGTGTCGCAAAATTCCCCCCCCCCCCCAAAAAAAAAAAAAAAAAATTCTTATGAAATGATAGAGAATCATTTCTCAATTGTAATGACACCAAAAGAACAAAATTTGATGGAAAACTGATGGAATTACGCTCTCGCGAAGTTAGCGACCTCAGCGATATTTATGAATCCGCGATTTCGCCCATTTTGAGCCCTATTTTCGGCTAATTCCATTGTTCCAGTTGACCAAACTCATAGCTATTTCTTTAGAACTCCATTTTTTCTATTGATTGAGTACAAGAAACTGCCCATTTACCGATTTCAACTACCCAATAATGTGGTCAGAAATTTGCAGTTTGGCTAACTTCACAAAAATTAAAAAATATGACAATTTCAAAATAGGGTCTAGAATGAACAATGCAAACATTCCTAGCTCTAAAATAACATTTTCTTTGTTCATCAGTCACATCTCTAGGCCCCTTTGATATTACTCTTGCTTTCTATTTTTAATTTTTATTCAAACAAAAAATAGAAGATTTACTGTTATGCAGACTACTGCAATATTGTAATAATTGTATATAGAATGTCAACCCATTCATGACTGCATATTAGAATGGCTACTTGGACATTTATTGGAAAATGACATCATTTGTTTACTTTTGAACATCGGCAAAAATCAATCATTTCCCCTACTTTGAGCTCCATTTCAAGGTTCTTTTCATAGTAAAACCAATCAAAATCACCTCTATTTCTATAATATGTTTTTATTCTATCAAATGAGACCAAGAAAACGAGAATACAACCATAAATACTATATGAGAATACACCACAAAGTCGGCATTTTAATTAAAAAAATGGTCAAAGTTTTTTTTTTCTCATTATGCACTGTGTGCTACAGGAATTTTTTTATGTGGTGCACACTGACCATGCAGACCCATTCTCTCACATGTGGGCCTACCAGCTTTCTCCAGCTTGATTTGAAGCCACTAGAATTTATGAGTAAAGTATACGTATATACGTCAAAAACAACAGTCAAAAGGTTAATAAACTAGGTTGCCTGTGGCTTACTAGCAGCATTCTAAGAGTCATTGATAAGAAACATTAATAACTTAATAACTAAAGAGTTTATTAAGCACTATATGTCAGTCCTCAACAAACTAATAAGAAAGTCTAGGCAACTGTACTATTCTAATAGTTTCAATGAACCGCAACTCCAGCCTATTAGGTGAAGTTCATCAGGAAAGCTTTTGGTACAATAGACCACAGCATTCTACTCCACAAACTTGATCAATACAGTATATCAAGTCTTACCTTACTAATAGATAACATTATGTCTCTATTAACCCTTTGAGGGTTTTGGTCGTACTAGTACGTTTTACGCGTAGGGGTTTTTGACGTACTAGTACTCATAAATTCTAGCGGCCTCAAATCTAGTGGGAGAAAGCTGGTAGGCCTTCATGTGAAAGAATGGGTCTATGTGGTCAGTGTGCACAGTCTAAAAAAAATCCTGCAGCACACAGTGCATAATGAGAAAAAAAAAAACTTTGACCATTTTTTTTTAATAAATCAGCGACTTTGCAGTGTATTTTCGTATGGTATTTATTGTTGTATTCTAGTTTTCTTGGTCTCATTTTATAGAATGGAAGACATATTACAGAAATTGAGATGATTTTGACTGGTTTTGAAAGGTGCCTTGAAATTGAGCTCAAAGTAGCATAAATGTTCGATTTTTACCAAACTTCAAAAGTAAACAAATCGTGCCAAGCGTGCAATACACGTCAACTGGTGAGTCTAATATTCTTTTACAAGTGCACCAATAATATTTATACCATTTTTTACACTAATGCAGTAGTCTGCATAACAGTAAATCTTATATTTTTTGTGAGAATAAAAATTCAAAGTGGAAAGCAAAAGGATATAAGAGGGCCCTTGAGACGTGACTAATGACTAGAGGAAATGTCATTTTAGTGCCAGGAATGTCTTTCTTGTTTATTCTGGACCCTATTCGGAAATTGGCATCTTTTGAAATTTGTGTGAAATTGGCAAAATTGCTAAATTCTGACCACTGTACTGGATAGTTGAATTTATAAATGGGTGGTTTCTTGCACCCATTCGATAGAAAAAATGGAGTTCTAGCGAAATATTCATGTTTTTTGTCGACTAGTACAGTGAAATTGGCCGGAAATGGGGCTCAAAGTGGGCAAAATCGCCGATGCGTAAATATCGCCGAGACCGCTAACTTTGCGAGAGCATAATTCCGTAAGTTTTTTATCAAATTTCAAACTTTTGGTGTCTTTATGATCGGGAAAAGATTCTCTATCTTTTCATAAGAGAAAATAATTTTTTTTTTTTTTTAAATTTGGCCGACCCTGAGAATGAGTTTCGGAGAGGGCCTGTCGACCCTCAAAGGGTTAAGTACACAACTTCCTCGACAAGACCTCTGGATACTGGTGTACCACAGGACAGTGTCCTTGGACTCCTACTTTTCCTTTTATACATCAACAATCCTTTCAAATGTATTGCAAAAACTTAGACCTGTTCTCTTTGCTGACAACACAACTTTTGTCATCTTCCACCCTAATCTTGCCTCACTCAACACTATTGTTAATGACGAGCTTGTAAAAATAGCGACCTGGATGACTGCCAATAAACTTACACTTAACATTGACAAAACCTTCTGTATTATGTTTGGGAGCAGAGCTAGTGATGTCCAACTAAACATTATGATTAACAATACTCTCACTGCTAAACTTAACGAGGGAAAATTTCTGGATCTGCACCTTGACAGCAACTTGAAATTCAACATTCATATTCAACACATAACAAAGAAGTATCCAAAACAGTTGGCATCTTCTCAAAGATACATTATTTTGTACCACAAACAGATCTACTTACACTATACTATTCACTGATCTACCCTACCTCACCTGTGCTGTTTGTGCCTGGGGATCTACAGCAGCAACTTACCTAAAGCCAATAATAACCCAGCTAAAAGCTGCAGTGCAAATGATCACACT